GCGAGTGTGTGTCATATTCGCTATACAGGCATAGTCTTCCATCTTGCTGGCCCCTTCAGCCCACGCTGGGCAGTACCCCACAAACAACCTTGGTACCGATGCTGGTGCCGCATCCCAGAAATAGGGCAGACAACTAAAATAATAAAAGTCAAAATACAAAATATAACAGGGCCGACAACTAAAATAATAAAAGTCAAAATAAAAATATAAGTATCGGGAACCAGTGCTTTTTAGGGAAGGAGGGTCGTCGGTGCCCCTCTCGGTTCCACAGACCGGGCCCACTGATGGGCCGGCGCAAAACCAAGGGGATAGCCCCGCCGGGCCCTCAACCCCTCAACATCTTCAGCCGCTCTAATGTTCCATTCCTGCCGGTCGCCGCCCTCGATCCCTGTACCGTCGCTTTGAAAGTCTAATGTCGTTACCAATAGTGCTAGTACCCAAGTTTGAGATGGACCACTGCAAAATTCAATATAAACCGTTGCTGCACGGCTCACGAGCCTACCAAAATACCCCAAGGCCACTCCTTCGCCTACGGACCAAACTCACGACTGCCGACCTATGACGCCCGCTGCTCATAGGGTCTGGCCCCGTACACAACTGTCAACATCTCGCATCTCCCACGCGGAGGCCATCGCTTGTGTTCTATTTTCTCTCGCACGCCCCAAGTATTGCCCAAGGCAACGCCACTTCCTATGACACACGCCGTATGGATGCAGATGCACCACGATCACTTCAATAAAAGAAACATTTTTCCAGTTTTAATCAAAGCAAAAATTTTGCCGGCGGAAACGTCGACTAGCAGTAAAAAAATAAGAATCATCACGCGCATTTTAAAATTGCGTACTCACATACTCTCTACTCCTAGTTAACCATTCGGTCAGTGTGAACAAAACGCAACCGCGACTCATGCAGTATGCTCAAATTTCGAAAAAAACTTATTTTTTGTCACTTGCGAAACCAGGGCGGATACCCTTGTAAAGGTATCCACTCCGACAGTTTACCGAACCTTATTAAGCGACGTCCCTATCGCTTCAAATAATCAAATACTATCAATACATTTATAACTCCAAATGCTGACGATAACAGATGCAATCCAATCGGGCAACTTGACTTCGTTTGAGGATTTTATCAAATGACCCTCGGTCACTACTAATCACTGCCATGGTTTCAACCTGGGTCTCTTGTGACCAGACCTTGGACACCGGGATACTCGATCCGTACTACAGTGTTAAGTTTGTTCCAAGTAGTCATTGATAATCCTCTCTCTTTGTCCTAGACATCAGTTGGCTCATCGTTGGATGTCTTGTTTAGTCATCGTCCTGCGTGCAAGGTCATAACTTAGAACACGGGCCCTAAACGAGACCTTTAAAAGACATTCCCGCCTTTGTCATAAAATATTCACAAAAATATATGACTTTTATCACAGATCTCTCCTGCACTCTTGTACAGGAAGACCAGGTCTCCATCTTGGCCCACCATAGTCTGGTTGATCGAGCCAGATCTACGGCCCGCCGCGCTGTTATATTAGCGGCAGTGCCCTCGCTGGTTGCACAACGATAGACAAATTTCATGATAAAACATTTTATCAGGACTTTAAGTTCCACAAAAATACAACTCGACTCTTATCCCTCCGACATCCCACGGGAATAAGACTCTCTGAAGTGGCCACACCCCTCAAGCCTTATCCTTTGGTGAGACGTGGACTCGCTGCCAGGTTGTGCCGGTCAGCAGCCAGCACTAGGGGTTGCGCCCTAGTGATGTCATATTAACCCTTAGCTGGGTCTCATATATGTCTTAAGATTAGCATCATAGTGACTGGACG